TAGACTTTGAATTGTCGTTAAGACATTGGAAGTTTTCCTTTGAATATTCCTTAAATTTTATAAATACCTTTGAGTATCTCGAAAGCTCCATCAAAATGGTAACAATATATATTTAAGCCATTATTATTAAAAAATAATCCTGATTAATTTTTTATTCCATATTATCATGAAAATCCTGTTGATTAATTTATATTTTGGATTAAAATGATATTATAGATATATAAAATTGCTAGCAAGTTCTAGTATTTTTATGCTATTTTATTTTTTAGATACTCCAAATTGATATAACTATATAAAACATCCAATATGTTCTGGTTTTTATCAACAGAGACAACAAATCAGATTTCAAATCATGAAATTTTGTATAAAAAGAATTCAAAAATCTTTAATCAATCTTTTTATGCTTTTATTTATAATATCTGTAAAAAATAAGAAATAAAACATTTAATAAATCTTAGCATCTTGTACCTTAACTTTGCTAAGATAATAAAAATATTTTTTAGTCATAGTGATCCTGTCAAAAATAATAAAGTAAAATTACTTATACTAAATTTACCTATTTTTATATAAATTAAGATTGATTTTGAATTGCATATATAATGAGTTATCCCTCACATTCATATATATATACTAATGATCTTTTTTTCCTGTTATAGATGTCTTCGATTAATATTTTGAAAATTGCTTTATTTTTGATCTTTGTGTTAATAATGATGTTTGCTGAGAAAATCACTGTTCATCTGATTTTTGTTGCTACATGTTTTGTCATGTATATTATCAGATAGCAATTTATTACAAAACTCAATGCACATGTGAAAGATTAATCACAGATATTATATCACGAGATGTTATATTTGTTGTTGAGGGACAGAGAATCTTAGTAATAGTAAATACTGTAATTGAAACTATTAATGAAATCATTACCATTTATAAAACTTTTCATGAAAAAATAGATCAAGTAACTGAAATGGGCTCTGTGACCCCATTAAGATCTGAATAATTTACTGGTTCATTTGCATTATTTCTTCCAGATACACCTAATTCTTCCTGAAGATCTTCTAATTTCTTTTCTGGTTCTTTTAGTGATATATAAAAAACAGATTATGTATTAGCAGACTTTTTAGTAAAACTAAAGATATTATTAATGATTTGCTAATTGATTTTGATCGTAGACTCAAGCCAACAATCATTTAAAAACACCACTCTAAATGTCTGGATCTGCTTTAAACAATTTTTGGCTGAGAATAATTATTCTTTAGATGAAATGTGTAATATTATATTCATCAAAATTCTTAGTTTTGGGATGGGAAAGCTTGGTAAAGAGACAGTAAAAAAGTTATTATCTTAAAATTAATAATTTAAAAAGTAGTAATTTAAATAAAATAGGTACATGAATAAATAGCAAAACAAATATAATTTAGAGTAGCAAAAAGAAACTCTCATATTATGGGTTAGAACTCGAGAAATTTCTCCCTTTAAACCCATTACTTTTAAGTTTTTTACTTAGCTCATTCTAGCTCATTTTCAATCTTATAATAAAGTTATATTTTATTATTACTTGATTTTTAAATGTGTCTAGTTATAAATTTGAAGCAAAATTTTA